TCCCCATTTGGGGGGTCCCAGCCTCACCTGGGAAGGGTCCCTGTCCCCATTTGGGGGGTCCCAGCCTCACCTGGAAGGGTCCCTGTCCCCATTTGGGGGGTCCCAGCCTCACCTGTGCTGCTGCCCCACCCGGGGGTTCCCTCCCACCTTTTCCCTCCTCCCCCCCCGCAGCTGGGGCGGGTTAAAGGGCCGTTTCAGCTCCCAATCCCGTTCCCAATCCCACTGCCGGGGGTCGGGATGGGGGAGCAGCCGCTGTTCCTCGAGGGGCAGCCCCCCGACTTCTCGCTGCTGCAGCGCCTGCTCTGCCTCGAGCCCGAGCCCTGCGACCACCCCCCCGCAGCCCCCCAGCCCCTCCAGCCGCCCCCCGGGCACGGGGGGGCCGCGACCACCCCAGGGGACCCCCCCAGGTGGGAACCGGCACCGGGGGAAGCGACAGGAACGGGAAGGGGGGAGGAACTGGAGGTACCGGGACCCCCGAGGGTGGAACTGGGGGGGAAGCGGGACCCCCCGCTCGTGTCCCGGGGACCGGGAATGTTCTGACCGGGGGTGGAATTGGGAGGTCCCGGGACCAGGAATGGTCCCAGCGGGGGTGGAACTGGGGATACCGGGATCCTGTTCCTGCCCCGGTAACTGGGAGGGACCGGGAGAACCGGGAATGTTCCGACTCGGGGGGGAAACCGGGAGGAAGAACCGGGACTGGTCCCACTGGGAAGGAACTGGGAAGGAGTGGGAGAGGGGAGGGGGAAAGGGGGGTGTCCCCACGAGCCCCCCGTTCCCTGACGGTGTCCCCCGCTCAGGACGGGGGTCCCGGAGCTCCCCCCGCGGCCCCGGAGCCCTCCCGGGGAGGCTCTGACGTTCCTGCAGGAGTCGGTGCGGCTGCTGCGACCCCCGGAGACCCCCCCGGCAGCTCCCGCGGCACCCCCCGAGACCCCGGGGGTGCCCCCCGTGCCCACCGGGAGCCTCGACGAGCTGAGCCTCATCAGCCTCCAGTGCCGGCACCTGGACACGGGGAGAGGCACCAGGAGCGGCACCGGGATAGGGATCAGCACCGGGGTCAGCACCGGGATAGGGATCAGCACCGGGATCAGCACCGGGATCAACACTGGGATAGGGATCGACACTGGAATAGGAATCGACACTGGGAGTAGAAACAGCACCTGGAGCGGGATCAACACCGGGAGCGGCACCGGAACCAGTAACGGGACTGGGATCCACACTGGGACCAGGAATGGGATCAGCACCGGCACCAGTAACGGCACTGGGACCAGTCCCGGGCCTGGGATGGACACCAGGAGCGGGCCCAGGCGGCGGCGCAAACAGGAGACCCCCCAGCGTGGGGTGGACCCCCGGGACCCCTCGTTCCGGGGGGTGACGCTGCGGATGCGCCTGGGGGTCCCCGTGGGGGGCACCGGCCCCTGCCCCCTCCTCATCAGCGCCCGCAGGTACCACCTGCCCGGGGGTCCCGTCCGTGTGTCCTGGGGGGGGTCCCGTCCGTGTGTCCCGGGGGGGGGTCCCGTCCGTGTGTCCCGGGGGGGGTCCCGTCCGTGTGTCCCTGGGGGTCCCATCCGGGACCACTCTTGGGGACCCCGTCCCCAGAGCGTCCCCTGCCCTGTCCTTCGGGGGGCAATAGGGTGACTCCCCCATTCCGGGGGTGTCCCCTCGCCCTGCCGGGGGTCCCCACTCCCCACTAACTCCCCCCTTTTTTCCCCCAGGGCCCCCCCCGGCAGCCGCGGGAGCAGCAGCAGCTCCGAGGACGAAGCTCCCCCCGCCCGGGGTAAGAACTGGGGGGGTCGGGGGAGGGGGTCGGGGACGACTCTGGGGGTGCCCTCCCTGACACCGGCGGGTTTTTGGGACCCTGGGCAGGTCGCAAACGCTGCGCCTCGTGCATGACCCGGCGGACCCCCCTGTGGCGAGCGGCCGAGAACGGGACCCCCCTTTGCAACGCCTGCGGCATCAGGTGAGGACCCCCGGGGGATGGGGGGGCGGTGACACCTCGGGGACCTCCCCCCCCCAAAAAACAAATCCCTCAGGGGTCACCCCGCGCCTCCCTGCAGGTACAAGAAGTACCGCGTGCGCTGCCGGCGCTGCTGGAACGTGCCCGGCCGGAGCGGGACCCCAAAACCGCCGTGTCCCCTCTGCGCCCACTGGGGACCCCCCGCCCCGCGTGGCAACAGGAAGTGACAGCGAGGACCCCCCCGAGCTGGAGGGGATG